GTGAGTGTATGTATGCATGTGTATAAGTAAAGACATACAGAGATAACCAGCAGAAGTTTAATTAGAATTTCTATTTCATTAGAAATCTGAGTATCCAAAAATAAACACAAATTGCCAGGAAAGGAGACCTCCTTGCATCATGGAATTGCTTGGGTTGAAATAGGTTAACCTGTTGGTTAGTTTGTTCAAGAAAGTTCCACATATCAAATTATAGATCAAGAAGTTGTTATTTCAATGGAAAAGAGTTGTGACAGAAAATTAGGTTTTCCACTAAACTAAGTGAAATCATCATGGCTCACATACCTTAAAGATGTCTAGGTTTTCAGCTGCTGAAAATAAAATCTGCTGACTTTTTGACACAGATGCTGAATTTTCAAGAAGAAAGCCAGAGAAAGGGTTAAGACCAAGCAAAACCATGACTGAAATGTCATCCATCCTACACACCCAACTTTGCTATTGCAAGCAATCATGTCTCACAAATCCTTTCCATAAATGAATCAAGCCCCACTTTAAAACTGTTAATTTTCTACCCTTTGCTCTTTCTCTTCCAGAACTTTATTGTCTGATTCTTAGAAATCCCCTATTAATTTCAAGCTTAAATTTATTCACAGTGATTAGATCCATTTGTTCTGCTGCCAAAATTGGCCTTTAGCTTAAACAGCCTCTCTCCATTCTCAGTGCTTATCTTCCTGGTGTATTTATAGAGAACAATCTTATCTTCTCTCAGCCTTCATTTTTGCTAGGATAAACAAGCCAAGCTATTTCATTTGATTTTGTAAAATGCATTCTTCATTTGCCCTCAGCATGCTAGTATATCTATATTTGCCCTTGTTCCAGTCTGAATTTATCTTGTCTGAATACAAATCTCCAAATTATACTTATTAATCCAGGTAAAGTCTTACCAGAATGACATACATGGCATCAATTTTCCCTCTATTTACTCATTACAAAACTCATTGCCTGACTCAAAGTAAGAAATAATGGCTCTTCCCTCATCAGAGTTGCAATATGTTGACAGTTTACAGTCATCCCATGGCCAGCTAAACACCCAGTTCTTTCTCCTCCTCTGTTACTTCAAACAATAAGCTCAAAGGCCACAGGAGAATTTCCTACTATTTAACCTTAAGCTTTGTGTTATTGATGTTAATCTCCTTTCTATTAGTCCAGTCCTTAGAACTGGGAATTCTTCCTGTAAGATATTTCCAATTATTTTCCATATCAGTTTTATCTGCCAACACTACAATGTCTCAGATTTAATAAGAGACCCTTTTACGTTTTCTACTGAGATCATTAATAAAAATGTCAAGCAATATGGAGCTGAACAATGGGAATTTCACCAATAACCTACTTCCAAGAAAGTAGTTCAACATTAGGCTTTGTAGCCTCCCCATTATCTCAGTCCTTGTCTTTGTCTTCTGGTACGAATTGTCATCTCCTCCAGCTGATAACTCCATAAATGCATGACACTGACTTTCCTTGTCCCTCTTTTCCAGTACTTCACAATGTGCTTTTGTGATTCTATTACTCTGGATGGGTGGGACATGACAACCCATCTTTATATGCTTCTTCACCGAGCTGCTACAAGGAGAACAGCATCTTCCCTATTTCCAATGAGGACAGGAGATGAGGTAGCAAGCTTAGACTGTTTTAGTGCACATCTGTGCTAGACTTTAAGGGGAACTTGATAATGGTGAAGCTGGTGAAGCACTGTGACAGACTGCTTGGAAAAGTCTATCACATGGTGTGTTTAAGAACAGGAGAGGTACCTTACCTCATAGGAAAACATAAGTGTAGCTGCCCCTTGCTTGGGGTGAGAGGGAAAGATCTCACAGCTTCCCAAGGATCATTTAGTCTGATACTCACAGAATTCACTTTTCTTTTTATATGACCTCTCTGGTGTCTCCACATAGAAAAATCACCTGTTCCCAGGCAGGCAGCATCACTACCTCACCCCCGGACAATTTGTTTGTTATGAAGTTTGTCTACAAAGATGTTTAGAAAGTCAGTTGGGGAATAAAAATTGGATCTTGAAAAACCATTCTTAGTGAATGGCTGGAAAAACCTGAAAGAATGAGTTCCAGGGTCACAAAAGGAGCAGTCCAGAAAAGACATAAATGTTGATTTTAGCACAACAAGTCATAAAGAAAAACAATATGTGATCATGTGAAGACTGCATCATCATATCCATGCAGAAGTAAACCAAATTAGATCTGCTCTGGCAAAACTAAATTTCCTAAAATCTAAATGCTGGACTTCTACAACTTTAGTGTCTTAGAAACATTGCCTGCATCTGTTTGTCTCATCTCCAGCTTCTGTTGGAGGAAAAGGAAGGAGACAGAGGTAAACACAACAAGATCCCTCCCTTCCCCGTTGGCAACCATAGTATAACTTTCTGATCCATGCACAGATCTTTGATGCTGACCTCTAGGATTTAAAATTTAAAAAGAAAATAATTGTTTGTGATCTGCTGTGGATGAGAGAGTAGTAGGACACTGCCAGTGGATTTTATTGGCAATGGAGAGATGCTGGATAAGTAATTCATGTATTTAGTTCTAGGGCAGGGAGAGGAGCATTCTGGGAGGCTGTACCCTTCTGCCTTTGGTTTGCCTCTGTACTTTCTTGCCTGTCACTGTCTTCACAGTCTCTTCATCTAACCAGTTCTGCCTCCACGCCTCAAAGTTTTCATTTTTATCCCCAGTTCCTTGATTAGCAAGTCCTGCTATGACTGGTTTGGGACAGCTTGAGACAATCTCTATACCAAATCACTCTCAATCCTCCACCACCTCCTGAGGTGTGTCCTTGCCCCACCCCAATTTGCTGTGCACCTTTTTCCCCCATATTTTTTCTTTCCAAAAGCAAGAAATCCACTGGATTTTAGTTCTAGCCCCTGTCTCCCAGCTTTATAGCTACCTCAACTTGTCATTCCCATTCACTGTCTGCCACCACACTTAACAAGCCAGCTGTATCTTCACTGCACTCCCGCCCAGCTCCTGCTCCAGTAATAGAGCTGCCACTTCTCTGCAATCTGCTCAGCCAGCTTCCACTGCTGCCTCCAGTGAAGGCAACACAAGTGACAGTGCAGGCAAACAGCTCCAGGTACTCATTTTCAATGGTCAGACCCAAATCAAATGTGGATCATTTGGACCAGCGCTATTACTGCAGTGGAAAGTCCTGATTTGCCTCAGGTTATAGATATATCAGGGCACACAAACTTCAGATAATGTCTGCAATAATGTTGCAAGAACGTAGTTTAGTTTAGTTTATGTTGACCAAACTTTGCAGGAATGAAAGCATAGTGTATCACTACCTAATGAGACTTCACAAACTTGAAAAGTATGCTCCAAAGCATACTTGTATTACAATCTTGTAGAGAAATCAGATCAAATTATTCATTTTTCATTTCCTGCAACAACTAAGCTGACTAATTAAAAAAAAACCCCAACCTGCTAGAGACATCCAACATCAGTAATTTCATTCACAATAATTAGCATTTATCAAAATTATAACCAACCAAATTTGGAGTCCTCTACCAGGAAATGGTGGACATTATAGAAATAACTGGATTCAACTGTAACAATATTTGCTTTAATGTCCAGTCTTTTTTTTCTTTGCAGACTTCACACAGGCACAAATGTAAAGTCTAGAGATTTATTGTGATCTCACATCAGTTTTAATTGTGCATATTTTCTTTCTCATTAAGCTGATTGTTCCTACTTTCTATCATAATGAGGTCAAAAGTTCTACCTCTCTGTGTTAATTCACAGAAAAAAAATCTTGTTTTAAAGGTGGATAGAATGGATCTTCATTGATCTTAAGCAAAAATTAAATAAATTAAGAATCACATTACTAGAACTTTAACCATCAACTGTAATTGAACTAGCAAGACCACACTCTTGGGCATTCTACTTGAAAGAGCTACTACTAACATAAGCAAAAGTGGAACTTACATCCTTTTGAATCCGAGAGTTGTAGAAAGTTTCTGGTTTTTTTACATAGTTAGCCGCTTGTCAGCTATTAGCTGAAGTACTTATTTTGCTAGATTACTTGCTTTGCTGCCTGTTTTTAGTCTGCAGATGATGTGGAATTCTGGGTAGATACACTCAAGAGCCTGCCCATTAAAACTGCTGCACTTGGAAATAAGCCCTCAGATAACGAACACAAAATCACAATGTCTGTGTGGGGAGGAATAAGGGCAAGGGGCTTAAGACATGGGCAAGAAGCAAGAAAGGACCTAAGGCAAGGAGTTCTTGTCTTCTGGGTGCATAGCAGCTGCTGTGTGACCCCTTTGTATAACACAGAGTGTTGCAGGATGAAAAACGTGGGGCAGGTCTGTACCGCCCCTGTACTGCAGTTAATGTGTGAATTCCACGTGTGACTTCACAGTGCACACACATCCATCCATCCGTCCATCCATATATACAGCTGGGCAGCTGTACTCAAAAGAGTAATAGACTGTGGCCAAAGGGCGGGGAAAGTATTAACATCAGGTCAGAATACTGCAACAAACCTGAGGCAAGGCTAACCTCAGCAATTACTTTCACCATTACTGTTTAATATTTGGTACCCATAGGAGTACTAATGTCCAGTGCACTGCAAGATGCAATTATCAAATGCATTGTCATGAAAGGGCAGTGTAAAGGTGGTGGGAGAGCAATCACTTTTTTCCTTTTTCTTTTTTTTCTGGATATCTAAATAGTATGAGAATTTTATCTGTTTCTTGGTTCACCTTAAGACTGTAATTTTTTCAAATAGTCTTACTTTCAGGTGTTGGATCCTGAATTTTTTACAGTCAATGTGGTGGCTGGATGGCAGGTGCTCACCAAGAAGCTCTATCATTCCCCTCCTCAGTAGGACAGGAAAGAGTGAATCTAACAAAAGCCTCATGGGTTGAGAGAGGGGCCAGGAGAGATCACTCACCAGTCACTGTCACAGGTAAAACAGACTTGACTTGGAGAAAATTAATTTATTGCCAGTCAAAATCAGAGTACGATAACGAGAAATAAAATCAAATCTTAAAACAGCTTCCTCCCACCCCTCCCTTCTTCCTGGTCTCAATTTCAGTCCTGATTTTCTCTATCTCCCCTGACCAGTGGGGCAGAAGGATGGAGAATGGGAGTTACAATCAGTTCATCACATGTTATCTTTGCCACTCCTTCCTTTTCAGTGGGAGGACAGCTCATGCTCTTCCCCTCTTCCCTCCCACAGGAAACAGTCCTCCACAAACTTCTCCAACCTGAGTCCTTCCCACAGGTTGCAGTTCTTTTCAAACTGCTCCAGCACGTGTCCCTTCCATGGGGTGCAGTCCATTATGAACAGGCTGCTCTAGCATAGGTCCCCTGCAGCATCAGAAGTCCTGCCAACACACCTGCTCCAGTGTGGGCTCCTGTCCCCATGAGGCCACAGGTCCTACCAGGAGCCTGCTCCAGCACAGGCTTTTCATGGGATCACAGCCTCCTTTTGGCATTCACCTTCTCCAGTGTGGGGTGCTCCAGGTTCTGCAGGTGGATCTCTGTTCCCCCATGGACCTCCATGGGCTGCAGCGGGACAACCTGTCTCACCATAATCTGCACAATGGGCTGCAGGGGAACCTCTGCTCTGATGCCTGAGGCACTTCCTCCCCCTTCTTCTACACTGACTCTGGTATCTGCAGGGCTGTTTCTTCTCACTCCTCTCTCTGAACGCAGTTACTGTTGCACAGGTTTTTTTCCTCCTTCTTAAATCTTTAATCCCGGAGGTGCTACCACCGTCACTGCTGGGCTCAGCACTGACCAGCAGTGGGTCCATCTTGGACCCAGCTGGCATTGACTCTGTCGGACGTGGGGGAAGCTTCTAACAGAAGCAAACAAGCCTTGTGGGTGTATTCCCTCTGGGCATCTGCCTAAAACTTATAAATAAACACAAGTGACATTAGCCAATAAAATCCACATATAGTTAGAGTACAAGTCAAAAATCAACTATTCTTTATTTAAACATAAGCTGGAAAAACTTCTCTCTATACATATACATATATATATTTACAGGTTTTCAAATCAATTATCTCTATACCCACTCTTGATGAATCATTCATGCAAAAATTATTTTGAGTCTTTCATATTCATTCAAAACAAAACTTGAGCTCCAATGATGCTGACAATGTTCCATTTTTATTGCTAGCAATATGGTAGCACCAGTGGCAACAGCAGCACAACAGTAGCCTATTGCACCAAACCCCAAACTTCCAATTGTGGACTAAAAGACAAGTTACAAAAGCTAGCTAATTAAACTTCCCAACTTGCAGCCTCTGAAATCAAAGCTCAGAGAAAGAAAATATCCTGTGGCAGTATATAGAGGAAAGCTGAGGCAGATTTTTAGACCAGAGGAAAAACATGAGGATTTGAAATGCTGTTCTTTAATTATAAGTGCAGCAATTCACAGCTATCATTTTATTTACCTTCCGTGCCTCTCAACTATTATTTCCAGTTGTCACAAACAACACCAGATGTGGCATGACATATGAAGCTCTGCAATTTTCCAACATTTTATTTCTTATGCTGAGGAAATTATAGCTTTCTCTTGAACATCGGGCCTTCTATTTACAAAACATCCATGGACTTCATTTTTATATTAGTAGCAACCCATCTTAACACTGTAAACCTGTGCAGGCTTTAATCAAAGTTTCCCATTATGGATTTCACCTCCTACTCACCCAACGTGGCTGTACCGTAAATTCAACCTACTTATTGGTTTACTGTGTCCCTCAGCAGCTTGAGGTGAAGTTGCAAACACATACATTCATCTGTGTAGGTGCTGACATACACTGAAGCTTGAGATCAAACCGTGGATGTTTATACATGATCTCAATCTTCACTTGGGCCAAAGTTAATCTTTCCTCTGGGTTTCAAAGCATGCTGGTGAGCTTCAAAGTAAACATATAGAAGCACATTTAGTAGTGTTTATTTACCTAAATATTCATTCTTTGCCGGGGAGAGATTTCTGAACATGGTGGTTGCTGCCTGTATCAAACCAACAGTAAGCTGGTGCAGCATCATGTTTCTAGTACAGGATATTACTGAATGCTTCATCAGAAGGCTCAAGAACAGAACATGGAATAAACCGCTCACAGGAGAAGTTTCTTCCAAATCTCGTGAAGTTAACTTTTGTTTTTTTCTACTGAAACATAAAGATTTTTATTCTACCCATTTTTCCTTTTACAAAGTACCAGGCAATGCACTTACTGCTCTGAAAACACCTGTTTCTTTCCACAAGTAATCCATTCTCATATATTTGAAAAACTCCATTTCCCTCAACTTGAAACCTGCAGACTCATGCAAGACTTTCCATTACCACATTTGGCAGTCACTGTCACTGTTAGTCTATATTTTTGGGAAAAACTCCAAATTAATTGAAGATGTCATTAAAGATGTACAGCTACTCAAGCCCTCCTTAGGCTCCTTTATCAAGAACAGCTCTAAAGGGTTTTTTAAATAAAAGTTTTAATTACAAATACCCACAGCATAGATCAGAAAAAGAAATGTTCCAAGCACAGTGGCACATGGGAACTCTCTAGATGACATTGTAGTACTTTTTGGTCAAATGGTAATTAGAGGATTGCCAATATGAATGTCTAGTGCTCTTCCTTATGAACATATTGATAATGTGCATTATGCAATATGCAATGATCTAGATCTTCCTCTTTTGCATTGACACTTAAGCAGAAAAGCATTCACATTATTTTCCTTACTGAAACCAGAAGACTGTGGAAGAGGAAGAAACAGAAAAGCTTAGGAAGTAACTCAGTAGCTGAGATTGCAGATTTCAACAGTCAAGTTGTCTGATTTAGAACCTGCCTGACCTGAACTGTTCTGAGGAAGCTAAGGAAGTGCTTGAGCAATAGGCCGTTAGCAAATTTTATATTGGTTAAGCTAAGCTGTCTCAGCTGCTGGACAAAGTGCTATTGTTTCCTCATTCTTCTGCATGAACTCTGTCCCACATGTTAACAAAGCCAGCAAGACCCATTTCCATTCCATTTCAGCTAAAAGCAAAAGACCTCCAGCAACAGCACATTTAACCCTGCCTAGAGAGCTGTGTTGTGAGAGCAATTCCAGAATATACTCTGATGGTTTTGGAAGAGAATTACCGTATTGTTGTTGTAGAGGTTTCATTCTTCTCTAGCAGGAGTTTTTTCTTCAAAAAATAAAGTAAGTTTCCTTAAACAGAAGACCCATGATAAAAACGAAAGGTAAATTCACAGGGGTAGCACGATCATACAGCAGTGGAAAGCAAAGTCTGTTGCGATGAGGGCAGAAGCTTGGTGAACTAGGCAATTAGACAGTATTTTATATAGCTCTGTAACACAAAACTCCCCTATGAAAATGGGAGAGTGGCCTTGGGAGATTTCCTAAACTACATACTTTTAGTTTAAAAGGTTTTCTATTTAAAGCCTCTTCAAGAGTACACAGGAGATTCCTTAACATCCTCTACCATTCCTATTTTGAGAGCTGCCCTGTTACTCCAGGACTGAGGACAAAACATTTCAAGTGTGTAAAGGCAACCTCAATTAGTGCCATTTCTCCCTATTTCTGAAGTGGATTATCAGCTCCTTTCCACTTCCTGACCCTTTTAGAATTGTCCTTGAGACTGCTGAGTCCCATAGAGAGAAATATATTTCCAGACTCCTCTGGGTCCATTCCTCTGAACTTGTCCAGTCTTCATCTTTCAATGTTCAAATCTCTGGGCAGAAACCCTGTGTGCTTCCATGTTCCATGGCAAAATACATGTCTGGAATCAGAGGGAGGAAGGGGAAAGACGTCAGAATATGCAGCAGCCATTGTGAATAAAACTGTTATGCTTTGCTTAATACACATTTAAGTGTTAGTTTGTTTGTTGTTGGTTTTTTTAACTACATAATAAAACATGGAATTTTTTTTTGCTCAAATAGATTAAATAACAATGAGAAAGTAAATTTATATAATAACATTTATAGAATATACATGGTTGCTGGCTCTAGCATCTCTGTATAAGCAACAGAAAACATTGTTGGAAGGGAACCTTACACAACCTGAAGTGAACTGATTGCAAATTACTGTTTTCAAACCAAGAAAAGCTTCTGTACCTGGCATTTTTTCCCCAAGAGAGCAGTTTCACAGGTCCAGAGGTCAAGCAGCACAGGGCATTGATCCAGAGACACGAGCCAAGGATGTTGCTGCCACTGAATTGCTCACAAGTTACATTGCCTGAGATGCACAAAAAAAGGAGAAAACAGTATCAGAGAGATTTCCACATGCCTACAGTCCCACAGTCCCAGGGTTTGTGGTAATTCTCTTTATTTATAGCACAGGATTGTGGTTTTTGCTTGCAGGGAACCCCAGGACAGAAAAAGATTTCAACTTCCATAAGCTTTGGCACACCCCAGAGTATCCTGCAAGGAGCCATTTGGTTTAAATTTATCTCTTCCATCATCTTTTAACAAATATTCTTTGAGAGGTTCAAGTTCAAAAGAACCACACCAAGAGATAAAGCCAGAGAAAACATATAAAAAATAGGGGAGGAAAGTGAATAGAAGCTTAATTTTTCCCAGCACCAAATCATGTTGGGATCATCTTCATCCCTTCACCTTCACCCTCAAATCAAAGACAAGCAATATATACTACTCAAAGATAAATTTTACAAAGAGATATGGCAGGCCAGACAGCAGATTGAGGTGAGGGCTTTCTTTTCAGATGGCTTACTACCAGAAAAGTTACTTTTTGTAATTTAAAAATTGCTGTGAAAGGAGGAAAAAACATCACTACAAATGTTTCAACACTATCAGCCTATGAGAAATACTTAAAGAAATCATGCTTTAGTTTTCTTGTGATACCATGTAAATTAGAGCTATTTTTGACAATAACTGACAAATGCAGTAGAGTGAATCTGAAAAGTTTAGGGCTGCAGGGTTAAAAATCAGCCTTGGTGTAAATAGAAGAGGCTTCCACAGCTACTCTTCAGCTCCAGACTTGGTCTTATTTTTCAAAGCTGAACAAGAGGGTAATTTGAAGTCCATGATCACTGGAAAAGTCAGCATGTAAATAATGTTTGAGTCTATGGCACACAGAAAGAAACCATAACAAGAAGGAACATAGGGCAAGTCGTATATGATCAGTCCTCAGGACTACTGTGTGAGGGTGATAATTAAGTCACCTATAAACACAAGATCTGCTATTCCAGACTCATTCAGTAGCCTGCCTCCTGTGATGATGGAATCACAGAATGGCTGAGGTTGGAAGGGATCTCTGGACATCACTGAGCCAACCCCCTGTTCCCAAGCAGGGTCACATCAGGGTCAATTGCCCACGACTGTGTCCAGTCAGATTCTGAATATCTCCACCAGCCTCTCAGCAAACCTTTATCAGTGTTTGATCACATTCACAGTTAAAAAATATTTTCTTGTGTTCAGATAGAATTTCATATTTCAGTCTGTGCTCAGTGCCTTTGGTCCTGATGGCAGGGATGGCTGAGAAGAGTCTGGTCCCTTACCTTCATTCCCTCTCATCAGGTGTTTATACACACTGATTAGTTCTCTCCTTAGCCTTCTCCAGGCAGAACAGTCCTAGCTCTGTCAGTCTCTCCTCACATGAAAGATGCTCCAGAAAAAGGGTTCATAATGAGGACCTTCTGGTGACTTCAAAAGAGGTCCTACCAGCTATTTAGACATTCATAAGTTTGTAAAGATTTTTGATCATCTTGATGCTCAGGTCTGCCCTGCATTCTATCAGAATATTCAATCTTAGAGAAGATACTAAAACATCAAAAGCATTATTCTACCAATACAGAAAGTAATCTCAATAATTTGATTTAAGAGATATTTTATGGAATTCTCTGCACAGTGTACGTGTTTGTGCCATTTATTCACTGTTTTCTAATGACCCTCCCCTCATACTTTCTACAATTCCAAGCTTTTTCCTCCTCACCCATCTAGAAGTACAACTGCTCTTTTTTAGAAACCTGTTATACAGACTCCCTTAACTCATATCTTACTATTTAAAAAGGAAAAAAGAAAACCCAGGAAAAAAAGGAAGTCTGGAATGTCAAGTAATTTGCAGATTCTTATTTACAGCTGAGAAAAGTTTAAAAGTGGTGGGAAGTAAATTTAGTTCTGTTAAAAAGCAATCCAAAACATTAATTAAAAGACATTCAGAAGCAATTAACATTTTTCTTTTCTGACTCTCTTTCTGTGCCTTGAAGATGTGCTAGCTCGTTATATTACTTAGCTGCATCAGTAAATGTCCTTCTGTGTTATTATTCCCTACAGGGTGACTTTGATGTCTGTGACCCTGAATAAGTGCAAAATTGTGACATTAACATCATGTGACAAGCAATTCCACATGCTCAGTTAGGTCTTTGTAGCACATTTATCACTTAGCTAACTAGGAGAATAAAGAAAAGTCCCAAAAATCCAGTCAGCACTTGGACTTGCAGAAGTACACAACAATTCAAGGAGTCATGGGATTGACCTACCTTGAAAACAGCAAACTGTCACAGGTCTTTTAGACCTGTGGATATCTTATGTTTATCTTTCTCAGTGTACTGGCTGGTCACAAGCACCAGCTGGTTCCCAAGCTCCTTTGGGTCCTCTAAATTCATATCATGTATTATGTAAACCCCTCACTGGTCTCGTGTATGAATACATCCATCTTCTCTAGTGTGAGAGTTGTCATGGTTTTCCACCTCTGCAAACTCCGTAAACAGAGTGCTGTGGACCTGTGCTATGAAAAAGAGACACATAGCAGCTGTCAGCTCTGAAAGGATTGCAATTCTGTATAATTAACCTAAGAGTGGACCTCGCCTCAGAACATGTCGCTAGCAGAGAACAACTAAATAAAATATCGCCAAAATATTATTTTTTACAGGGAAGACCTACACTGTGTCTTCATTTATGCTACCACAGAGTAAGCCAAACTGTACGAAATTGTTACTGCGTCTAGTTTTTCCTTCAGTCATATACATTCACAAAAAAACATCAAGAAGACATGAAAAAGCAAAAGATTAGCTCTTGAACTAAGGTAGAACTTTTTTCTTTCTTCTAATCTAGCTCAAATTTGGCAAAAAGTGTCTTAAATTCTGACATTCAAAGTCGACATATTTTTAAAGCCCTCTTGGCTAAGTTCCACTTGCAAGATCTGTAGATAAGTTCTCACACACAAGGACTTTAGTGCTAATTATAAAGAATGCCCATTGACTGGTGTCCCAAATTGCTATGAAATCAGCACTTGTTAAGTAGAATAGTTTAACAATGACCTTAATTTTCAAAAAAAACCCATCAGCATCTTTAAAAGAGAATTGTCTACCTTGGCAGTGAGTCATTAGCAACGAATGTAACACCCAGGCAAGAATTCAGTACTGCAGTCAGCAGAAGTGGTGTTAGTTTTCAAAAGATTCTGTTTCTTAACTGTAAGTGCCACACAGAGAATTACATACATCTGTCTCTAGATGTATAATTACTGAAGTTAATCTTCCAGTGTAAATAAACACTTGGGGTATAGGGGTAATAGCCATGGAATTTTCTTAATGGTTCTTATTATAAGAAGCTAGCAAGCAAATACAAGGTTCTCCTTTTCCACTGTTTGTTTTTGCTGTTTCCTGCTATGTAATGCACTTTTGTTCTCAGTTCAGTGCCAAATAATGACACACGATTTATTGGGACTTTCTGTTTTCACTGGCTGTCCTAACATCTGCCTTGACAAGATCTCCAGTGCTACCAAAAGTTTCCCTGTTAGCACCTGGGTGTCTTAACTTTTATTCAAAGAAAGGATGGAGAAAAGGAAAAGGTATTTCCTTCGGTCATGGAAATCTGAGTAAAATTTAAATGTATTCAGAAGAACAGCTTGCCAGCTTCAGAGATATGTGCTGGATCAGAATTAATTCTTTACCATAAAGTTAATTAGGCAGCCCTGCAAAATGTACACCTAATTTGAACATAATGTTGGATAAGCCTGGTCAGATTCCTTTCCTTTTTTCCCTGTGGTGTTCTGCACTCTCTGTTCTTTCCTTATTCTTCTGAATAGACTATTTGTTTCGCTGATCTTAATTATGTGGTGCAGAATTTGATAAAGGTTAAATCAAAGCCCTTTATAGAACAATTAAATTCAACTTGATTTAGGTAAATAACTGAGCAAATACTAGGGTGACTTCACCATAGCAGATAGGAGGGGGGTTTGGTTGTGTTTTTAAATATCCTTATGAAAAACTTTCATTGAAATATTTCCACTTTCAAGCTCTTAATTTTTTTTTTCTGGCGATTCCTGCTCTGACTCACTCCTAAAAATCTCAGTCAAGACTACTGCACTCAGCAAAAGGGGCATGTGACTACAAAACTGGAGAGCTCTTAAAAACAAAACTAAAAGGAAATGAAAACTTTCTCCCTATCATATTGGGAGACTCCATATGGGATTCATATTCTTAAGACACTGTCCATATTTTTAAGACACCTTCTAAATACAACTTATTCCTATAAAAAAATGTTATAACTCAGTTATGTATCTATAGCAACAAATGGAGTAATTGGATATTTGTGCGTTTTTTTGCCTGCAGGTTTTGATTTTTCTCCTCTAGCTCTGCTCAGGTTTACTGGGACTTAAAAATCCCTTTTGGGTTATAAAGCAATATTTACACACCTTTATCTACTTTCTTCCAAGCTGAATCTCAAAAAGTTTTAAGGTAGTATAATGCAACACATTGGTTTGCAGGGCCTTGTGTCATTATAACACATGCCTCTGATCACCTCCATCCCAAACAGCCTGCCAGGGAGGGTGCAACAGAATCAGAATCTCAGTTTTGGATACTTTCTGTGCTAAGCCATCTCACCAGCTCACATCTTACAACATGGAGGGATTCCTAACACAGGTACTCCTCCGATTTTGGGCATAGATTAAATGATAATATTTTTAAGAAACAATGCCATTCATTTTGTGTTTATATCACATGCCAGCAAGTATGCTAGATAGGTGTCAGGTAGTTTGCCTGTAAAATGGCTTTACTGTTGTTTCAGTTCTTGAAAGACAGTCTGTGCAATAAATTAAAAATAAACCCAAAACACATTAGAAACTGTTGTTCAGGAAATACTGTTGCCTCTGCTTATAAATTCACTGCCAAATAAACTGTAATAGGATTAGTAAATATTTATCTAGGCTTTAGCCGAAGTTCAAGAGTATATATCCATATCCCTGTATTAGTCCAGAAGAAAGAGAGCCCAGTG